ATTTCTCTCTATCGGTGGAATGGGAGCCTTTATGATGCTAGTGGCAACAAACCGGTCCTTCTTCACAGTATTGTGCGTGCTCAGAACTATGCCGGAACTATAGGACCGTTATGTTTGCCGCCACCAAACGTAAATCGCAATAAAATCTAGCATCTCTTTTAATATACTACTGTATTTTAGAAAACAGGGATGTTCAGTAGTAAATCAGGATCTGGTTGCTTGTACAAAAATGTGTGATGAAGATAATCCTGTGGTACTTCTCGGGGCGGGAGTATCATTTCTAACCCGTGGTTGTGATTTCACACCGCTAGGAGCAAACGATAGTCTTAATCGTCATTCCGGGCCAATGAATTAACACAATTAATGCGACCAATGGCATTCAAATATTTTCACGACCTTTTGTTTTCCAGAGATCTCAAATGAGGTGTTTTCAGAGAAGACTCACAACCTCCATAATTTGTTCGACCCAGACGGTCGTCTTGTTGTCAAAGATCTGCTCCCCAGACGTCATCGCTGAGGAGTGATAGTCCCGATAAACGGAAAGATATGATGGATTCCCCTTGAGGGATCTGTAGAAAGATTGTTGCAACTGATATTAAAAGTATCAAAGGAGGAGATCCCGGCAGTGAGTGGTTGGTCTGCAGGAAAAGGAATCAGCTGCTCTTGGATATCCTACGCCCACAATCCCGAAATAACATGTAGATATTTTGAACAAGAAGACGATATAAAACCCGTAAATTTGCTTTTAACTATAAAGTGAAACGCCCAGCCCAACCCAGCCCAGATCTAGTATGCATGTATACACCAGTATGCATTTTATTGCCGTGCCTCGTCAGTATTTGTTAGTGATACTCTTGTAATAGGTTGATTAATTAAACTGCTGGTTCTTCCAAGACAAACTCACCTCTTTCCTTTCGTCAAATAACAAGTCTTTATTTGCGAATCATTGCTGTTCAGCTCCAGAAACCATGAGTTTACATGTACGAATGAAAACATTTAAAAGGATCACCTTCGGTGTACAGCAGTCAATTATTTTTAGCAACAAAAATATAAACTATACATGTGAAATATTCACAAAATTACAAAAAGTTGTTTATCCAAATCTTGTCATCTACGATTCTCATTTGCAAACAAAGTCAACATACATGTAAACACAAAAATATCCATTTATTAATCAGGCTAAAACTAAAACATACATTCTGATTAAGAACCCACTAAGAGAACCTTGTTTTTCAGGGCCTTTCAACCACGGCTTCAAACACCAACACTAGTTGGACTAGTCAAAATGAACATGTTTAATTTCTCTGATGGATGCAAACGTCTTGTCAAATGCAAGTGCACCTTAACAAACCTTATTTCCCATCTTTCCCGTTTAAAGGTCATGGGGAACCAGTGTTAAGTCTGTACGTTTGATCCAACCTCTGTGCTGTGTTTTTCTTCTTTCTCACGAAGAAGTCGATTTATTTTGAAATGACATTCATAGCCTACAGCTAACAAAATCAAAGGTAAACAGAAATGTGCTCAATACTGTGAACTGGTCACTCATAATTAGATCAAAGTAGTAGAATGTTAAATTATTAAAGTAAATCTCGTGATATCAAACATTAGGAAGGAAATGCAGTGCGAAACAATTGCATAAACATGTTGACACTCTGCTAAATTGATTATAAGATAATGGAGCTTATGCCCCTCAGAAATGTAGTCAATAGGTATCAAAATCTGGTCCAATATCATCGAAATCAAGAGCGTCATAACACGAAACATATCAGCTACATATGTAGAAAGAAAGTCACATTAAATGGACCCACTTATTCGTATATTACATTTACTGCTTTAAAAATCAAATTTCAGAACAAGGACTTCAAATCCTGTCACGGGATTGTTGTTAAACAAGAGCAGTACCAATCAAATATTAAAAAAAAAGCTACGTCCGTTATTGCACGTAAGTGAACCCTCGATCAGTTTATTTACATAAAATAGCATGCAAAACAAGCTGTAACAGTTGCTCCCGATTAAAACCTGCTTTGAAATAATACAACTTAGCACAAAGTATAAATGTACTATAATTATAATCACGTTACCTTGCCCTTCCTATTAAAGGATTCCAATTCGATGATGTAGTTTCAACATCATACAACGCTCGCACGTTTTGGGTAACAAAACAACATGTATGACATTTATTTCGTATAGCATCCCATTTTTAATTTACAGTTGTAATGAAATGTATCGAAATATACAACAAACAAGCATACGTTACTGCTTTTGTAAATTTCAATGCCCTGAAGACATCAGCCACCTCGCACGAACTAAACATTACACGACCATAAGTTTATGGTCGGTTTGGTAATTACTATAGTTAAATAATTTACACTTTTTGCACAGGTACTTCGTCAAATTGCCTGTTTGAATCTGAACGAGTAATGAGTCAGTATCAGTGTAAAGCAGGCTTATTTTATCGCCGAAATCAACCTTGAGAATGTTAAAATAGAAATCATACATTAACGTTTTTGATAGGTCGAGTACGCTTACCCCGGAATAAACGGGCTTATTTAACTGCGTTTTTATGCGGTACATTTCCACGAACGATAGATCACATCCTTTAAACAGGAGTGGTCGATTTATAGTTCGGTTTGAAAGTTACTTTTTGATATTTTACGGCATCTTGCGAGTCTCTCAATAAGTGTCTGTCCATGCGATAACGCATGTTTTCCATCGTCTATCCAAATACCGAGTTATTCATATATTTGAAGAAATCTTTCTCAAAAACAAACGTGGCTTTTTTTACGTAACTCGGTTTTTTGTAGCTCTTCATCCATGGCCACTGTTTAAACGACATCATTCGGTGAACCTGTTTTAACTCTAGCCCGAGCTCTAAATATTTCTGTAAAGTTCGATAATGAACGACGTATTTATGTTTCGTGTTTAAAGTCGATACTAGCTTATCTATCGACATGATTCGCTCTCCGTGGGATATTAAATTTTTTTGGTATCCGACAGCCATTCATCTGGAATCGATATATTTTCTGGCGCCAATGGGAAATCGTTGTGTAAATCATGTAAGTACTGCGGATAATCTAACGTCACCTCGAGTAAATAACTTTTTGACGCATTTGTAGAAATTTTTGAGATGAACTCGGGGGTAAATTTGGTCACGTCTTGAATCCACCTAAATTCTTTAAACGGCAAAGGCTGACTCATGGCCCAGCCGTATAAATTGTCTGCGTCAAAATACATGATGTGCGACGTCGGTTTATTTGGGTCGTAATCTTTTAATTCTGGATTGTTTGCTTTAGCATAGCGCTTTGCACCCACGCTAGAAATCCCACCGTGCTTAGCTCGTTCATAGAATAGATGCTTATCGATGTTTGTCAATAGTTCCAACTCGATGCCAGAGTGCTTTAGCAATGCATCACACGATAATCCCGGTGGCGTATAATAATAATTCGCCGGGTCGAGGCCGTTGCTCTTTTTACCCACTTTGCGGAAATTCTCAAATACATCCGCTAATGATAGTGCATCCGTCTCGAGTGTAAATTGTGATAGTCCCCGAGATTACTGCAGCCAAACATTCGCCATACATTTTGAGCTTGAGTGTATTCTTCATCCGTAACAGACGCCTGCCTTAACGAGCTGTAAAAAGCGTCATAAGACTGCGCACACCTTTTTCAATAATTATGGGGTTTCCTTATTTTTCTCTATTTATTACAGGCAGAATGTACATGTACATGCAGTACTAGTAGGAGTCATCCGGTCCCTGCACCTCTGGATATTTTTGGTTTGGATTTTTCGTTGGGATCTTTGTGAGGTTCTTTTCCTTGGAGTTACCTCAACCTGCTCATCATAATCCTACTTCATGACTGTGATTTCTATGATTCCACCTTGATTTCGTCTTAATTGCTGAATAAACTTGTCTGTGATGCAACAAATCAAGATTTTCTCCCATTGACTGAATCATTGCCTGGTCAACTCGTACATTCATCCCAATCATTTTTGGCTTCAGCCCCACTGGCTGTGACACCGCAGCCCCATTTTACTACAGTATTTATTCATACGACTCTTCCGTATACACGTCTTTGGACAGATCCGACCACCATAATACTGGGACAATTTTAAAGTTAATTAATTTCAAAAGACGGTTTCATACATGCATCATTTGACTGGTCAGACTTCTATAATTACAAGCCTAAATTCTGCAACACCTTCAGTTGATTTTTGAGCTACCCTTGCACATACCCATCTTTGGATTTATTAGGCTGCCTCCTGCCGTGGTTCTTTAATAATCTGTCTGGGACACCTGCCGAGGCAGCCGCAGCTGCACCGCCAGCATAAAGGCTGTGTAGGCCGAGCTTGCCCGATCAGCCCCATCTCCTTCAAGGCATTCTTAATGACTTCTCTACATCTGGAGTAGGAAAGCTGACCTTTCCTTAAACTGTAACTCTGAGATGATTTACAATACACAACTGGTCGAAATAAGAATTTTTCCGTGAAAACTGTAGTGTAAATATTTTAGCAACATCGAAACAGGCCACGTAATGGTGCCAGTCTTGGCAATATAGATTCAAGAACCGTCTCTATTTTGGTCGGTCTTACTTTTAGCCAAAAATATTCTGACAAAGGACAAATGCATATCAATACCACATTCTCGAATGTAAATGAGCTCGTTATTCCTTAGATAGCCAGCAAAGGAAAGTAGGCACATTGAACAGAGACGAACGTGCATAAGATTATCTGCAAGCCCAAATCTGATCACAATTTGCTTAAGAATATCAGCAGTAATTGGCTCTTTCTTGGAAATCGGCCTCGCAATGATACGCTTAATCCCATCTAAAGTCAAGCTAGGAATTTCTTATCTCAAGGATTTTCTGTAACTGGTGGATTGCAATCATGATGCCATTTGACACTGTAGTTCCTGAATTTAAGAAAATGGCGTATTATTGTTCAGTAAATCTACAAAGAAATTTGCCTAGTCTTCTGAGTTGCCTGGCATCGCCGTACCGTAGTGTGCGTTACACCAAGCTTGCCAATCTGTGAAACATCTGTAGTATTTGTCGGTCGTTCGAGATTCTCTTGAAGCTTTTAACATTTCTTGTAGTGTATATGCATGCGTGTCAGTTCTGAAAGACAGAAGTCATGACAAATATGCCAGTTAAAATAACCGGTCAAGCGACATAGATTATCAATCTTTCAGGCCGGCGCCAGTATGTGAGCCAACATTTCATAATTCCTTGTTCAATTCACTTTTTAAAAACTCATTTCTCATAAAACTCATTTCAATATAACTTTCACGTGAATGTCGGGCAACTTTAATAATAGCTCTGTATCAGACAAAATTAATATTCTTACAAGCCACGCAGGTTTAAGTTGTACAACCATGCACTGCAACTTCTGGAGATATCGGTGAGAGCTACCAAGCGGAATTACAACTCTCGACAGCCACGCAGCCACACAGCACATCAATCATGCAGTCCCCGTATCCATGATACAAAACAAGAATTCAAAAATCGCATGATGAATCGACCATTTGATGCTTGTGTCTGAAAAGTTAAACTCTTATCGATGATTCTATTCCTGCAACCTGATGCAAATCGCTGCAGCTCTCATTTTGCATGTACCAATGACACGACCAGAGTTTTATCCTTGGACGAATATATTCTCGGAATTACTTTATCTCAACGTGTCAAAAGACTGCAGATGGCCATGCGCTGGTACCACAAGTGTTCCTCTAGCTCTACAAGCTTTTACATGCTGAAGAATCCTACAGACTAAATCTATTTGGCGGTACTAACCAATTGTTATCGGCACTCCAATCAACATTAAATGCATCAACCTGAGATGAATTCAAGCTCCAGCATGTCGAGTTGAAATGAGGTAATTTCGTATTATACTCGTTAGCAAACCTGTCTACTCTATGTAGACCCCACAAACCATCTAAGAAATCGAAAAATATTAGGGAGACTCCCCAGTCGTCTAAATCCACCAACGTACTAAGACAATCCGGTTCCACATTCTCCTGACGAGGGATCCACTCAACTTTTAACTTAATACTGTTGCAGTTACAGAAATACCTAGGATCTAGACTTATAGAGGGATTTCACATTAGCGCCGTCTGCGCATATCTGCATCGAAACCGAGGCTCTCTGTGTTGATCTTCATCGCGCGCGCCCGCAGAGTCCACACAGTACATGCAGTATCCGGTTTGTGTGACGCCACTTCAGTTAAAACCACGCCCACTGCACAAGATGCACGACCATCGCAGGTGGGTTAGTTCGCGGTGAAATGCCGTTATTTTCCTTTGATTTTATGTGTTGAGTCATCCTGAAAGACTCTTCCACAAGAATTTGCAGCCTGAAAAGTCTAAATTTAACATACCTTTATGTATTTTGTGTCTTGACTCCTTACTTTCAATCGTCTGATCGTAATAAGAATTTAAGCTGACACATACAGCCTCGTTTTCAAACGCAGAAGTGCTATTTCCTGTAGCTCTGGAACCATGCTACCCTTGGTAACTATAGACACGAACCCTTAATTATCTGTACGTAAAAGCATCGTTTTCCCCTTGGGCACTGAAGTGATTGCTCTGATCGCAAGGGATGCCCCTTATAACTCACGCCCTATGGAACTCTTCTCTCTCTCAACGTCTGACCAATTTTGTTGAAATTCCATTTTTTTGTGATTCAAACGTCAATGCACCACACCCCGACTGACTTGCGTCTGTATAAACCAGAACCTACGGAGTGGAGTAATGAAAAGCAAACGTTTGTTCAGGTTAGACAACTCTTTCCTCCAAAACACAATTCTTCTGTTTCTTTACTGTTGCTGTGTAATAAAAATTCATAATCACAATGTTTTCTGTAAGCTATCTCCATGTGGCGATAACGTGACTTGAGGTTAGCAATATTTCTTACGACGCAAGAAAAGGATACAATCTCTCCCGTAACGGACGCCAATCTTCTAGCAGTTAGCATGGGCAGCTTATCAGTTAAGCTATCAACTGAACGCAGAGTATCCGTAACTCCACGTTCCTTTGCTCGAAGTGAACCCTCAATGGAATTCCATGTCAATCCTAGCCAATCTAACTGTTGTGTCGGATACTACACCGATTTCTCCTTGTTAGGAACGAGCCCTGCGGCTATTAAACCAGCTTTTACCGTTTGAGACGTATCCTCACACTTGGCTTTCGCCTCCTCTCTGGCCCATCCATCATCCCGGTACACTACTATGTACATACCTTTCTCCCTCCAGTGAGTTACCAGTGGTCTGATAATTTTTGTGAAAATATAAGGGGCCGTTGTTAACCCAAATGGCAATTGAACGCAAAATATCTCGTTGTACCTTGTAGTTCCCAAGCAAAGCCTGTAACATGTTCATGGAATATCTCAACATTATGGCATCCAAATTTTAAATCAAAAGAAAACATAAAATAACCTCTTTTAAAATAATGCAAAGCTTCATTCCAATCCTCAAATTTAATTTTCTGTTTCCAGATGAACTGATTAACATATCTGATATCTAGAATCAACCTTTTTTTACCGGAAATTTGAACTGAAACGGTTAACTGATTTAGTACATGAGGGAGAGAATCAAACTCGGATTCAAGATGTTTGCCTCTAAGCTCTGTAATGGCTTCCAGTACAAAACTAGAATGTATGATAGCAGAGCGGTTTTACGAACAAAGGACATTGGAGGGGTATCTATAAAAGGAATCTTATCGATGATCGTTTAACAAATCGGACACAATTTGGGCACAACGTTCTGCATTAGTGTCAATAATTGACGTAGGTGCCTCCTCGGGATCACCCCACTGCAGAACACGCCCCCCAAAAGGACACTTCCCCCCACAAAATATGCTGAGAAGTCGTCCTAGGAAGGTTTCGTCTAATTTATGCTGAAGAAAACTGAAAAAGTCATTGAAATTGGTAGGGATCGTTTTATCCACAAATAAATCTGAGACAATTTTGACACAAAGTGCTGCATTGGCCGTTATAATAGGACAAGGTATAAGAAAGGCACGACGACAAGTGATCCGATTCCTCAAGATGGGCCAGTTTTATTGCGATCCACCTTTGACAAACAAAATTGAAGGGAGTCGTTCGCTGAAAATCGCATCCCAAATTTTGTTTAGTGATTCCCAGGTAATTAAAGTTCTGGCAAACGAAGCTGAGAGTAGACAGTTTAAACGCTCAAATAGAAACTTACATTGCATAGTCATTAGATCAGTTCACCATAAAAATATCGTGAGCTCGGCTTCAGCCGCATCATCGAGGAATATAAATATTGCTACGTTTACTCCATAATTATTCTGTCGAACATCATGGAACGTACACACCCAAAGAGACGATATAAAACTGATACAAATATCTCGAAATTGTCTAGACATAAAGCTTTAACATGCCACATTTTGTACTCTATTTCCACCTCACACGAAAACTTTCTACACAAATCAACATTATCCACTGAGTTACACTGTAATCCAAAGGGGAAAAGTGGCAAAACATTCCATCGACATTTCCTCATTCCTTTTACTATTTTAGCATAGAATTAAAGAAAAAAAATTGAAGGTCACCACGTTAGAAAATAACAGCAAAATAACAAAAAGTACACATCCTACGGAAATTACGAACCAGAAAGTGTTAATCACTTGGTTCGCCTTTTAAGCTTCAAGAAGGCTTAAAGAAGGCAAAATTACCATAAAAAATCTGAACATTTGGAAACTCTGTATGCCTTTATATTGGCTTTTAATATTTGAAATCTTATCCTTAATCCTAGTGTACAATAGTGCTTGAATCATCTCAGTGATCACGTTTATTTCACCTATCACCAACGAATAGATCGACTAATGGAAATAGACAAAATAAGTCGGACAATACCAGGCTTTTGAATTCATAAAAGTTCAAATAAGCCTTCGGGGAGCAGCAGGATTTGACATTATTCAGTGGAATTTACTTTGCATGCATAATTCACTTGCAGTCGAGAAATAGCTTAATCTGGATTGAAATCAATACAACATAACAATACAAAATATTTCTTAATTCATTGGACAGTGAGTAGCTTTACCAAGCAGAGGTCATGAATTAATGCCTCTATAATTTAGTGTTTTTTGGGGAAGGGTGTTTTTATTTTGTTCTTGTTTTTGTGTGTGTGTGTGTTTTTTGTGTTTTTTTGTATGCATTATCACACTTGTCCTGGGGTTCTGAGCGAATTCATTAGAATGTTTGTGTTCACTAGATCTCTGTGCATTGGGAATGTTTCATGGGACTGGAGACTCGGTATTTTTACTCCTTTCAGGGGGCTCTTCACGTGGAACCTGACCAGATCCAACTAGTCCAAAATTGGACTGAAGCTTTAATTCAGGAAGGGGGACCTTGGGACAGATTCTTAACTTTGAAATCTGACTTGCATCCTTTGGTTCGGGAATTCCGTCATATGGCGAAAATCCTGATCAGCCTCTTATGCTGAGAAAAAACACCACAATGTCTGAACTTTAAAAAAAATGTTCCAGATCTTTTTCTGTCAGTGAGCAGCCACTCAGATTCAACATACATGTACAATTAAATTTCATTTGTTGCAAACTGCAAGCCAATGTCACGGCAGAGCCACTAAAAAGGCTGATTTCCCTCCAAACTGAGCTCTCTCCGAGACTTGGCATTCGACCCAGTGCTGCGGCCAGGTGTTCAACGTCTCTGCTTCGTAGTGAGCAGTCTAACTCCTCATGAGTCAGTTTTTGTAAGTGTAGGGCCCATATAGACGAACAGATGACTTAGATGACGAATGACAATGAAAGTCAAGCTGACTAAATCCCTCCAATTGCTGAGTGACTGTACAATATCTGCCATATTCTCACCAGCTGACGAACACTCCCTAATGTTCAGTTGCGTACAATTGTCTTTAAGCCTGACATGAAGCTCCACCTTGATACCACTGAAATGTATCAGATTATCCATGCCATTAACTGCTTCAGCCAGATATTTAACGTCCTGGCGGGTTATGCTATGCCCTTTCACTTTTAGATTGTGTAGATGGGTCATACTTATCAAACCGGCCACTCACTTCCCCACACGTCCGACCAAGTCCTGTATAGATTAAGTTTACCAACTTATCTGGGGACGTACTACCGAAAGAAATTACTACTGGGAATATTTCTCCTTGTGACATATGTGTCTTGTGAATATGTATCCCAGTGACCCGTCGTCAATGTTTATAGCAGTTCTGGGTGTTTCGACATTAAGCACAGCAAGGGTATCATTCTCTAGGCTTTGGCAAAGCTCTTTGCCACAGCAAAGAGAAGTTCTGACGACCGGATTCTCCTAAGGAGGTGCTCAGCCTGAGCACGTTCCTGTGTATAAAATGTATTCAATTACTCATCTACCTCTTGCTAGGTGGTCCCTGCAACGAAAGACTGTTCGTGTGCCTTGGACTAGTGATTGGTCCACCTGTTTGTGAAAAATAGAGGGATTAGTGTTCACCTGTTTGCCCATAGCTGCAGTCCGATGGAGGACATTTAAAGAAAAGTACGAAAATTTTTCTCAAGGAGGTAAAGCTGATAATGCATGACAATACCTGATGAGGTTTGCAGTAATACACGAAGCGAAGTCAGATTTTGTGCGTTGGCCCAGCACTTGATAATAAATTCCGTTAACAAGTTCTGTCTCTCAGTGAAGGACTCCCTTTTGCAGAGCAGCAACAAATTAAACTTAAATTTCATAAGAACTGGACTGGAAGCAGCTGCCCAATCGTATGCAATGTTGTCCAACAGAAAAACTTTACTGGATGGCCGTCCTGTGTTTTTCTCGTATGTTCTTTTCCTTTTATGTCCTCATAATTAAGTAAGCCTTTGCTATTCATTTCGAGCTGTTATCATCTTAGTCTAATCACCAACCCAGTTTATTATCTGTACATAGCTACCTGTTGTACATTGTCTTTGATACCTTTTCGAATCTATCAGCAGCATAATTCGGCTCGATCGTAATTGTAAGCCGTTGCTTCTGTGCTGGTTTGTCCAAGCAGTTTTGGTTGTTCTTCTGTCCCACTGTTTATATCTTGTTCATGGCCTGCGCAAAAATAATAAATGAATCACGTTAACCTTAATTTTGGACATTCACTTTATTAAAAAACGAATTTGCCCAGTATTGGCATGATAAATACTGTTGTCCCACCGTAAGCCGCTGTCATTGAGCCACTCCAAATTATTGGTCTTGCTGCTTTACTTTTTTATTACCTTTGTAACAAACCACTTTTCAATCACACAAACGTTTGTTTTTGTTTGATTCAGGCACCAAATTCAAAGCCAATAGACTGTGTTCATGTATCGGCCATCTTAAATTAAAAGTGATGTAACAAATCTCATTTTGGGAAACCGAAAGTACATTTCACAGAACGAAATAAAAGATCAGACAAATTTAAGTTATTTTTTGCTTAATATAATTTGAAATTTGTAATCAATTATATCTAAAAGTGTACGTTAAATAAAAACAAATTAATGTGAGGTTATGATCCCGAAATAGTCTGGAACCACCTTATTTAACCAATTAAAGTGTAATAGAACCAGCGAACAAGAAAATTTGGCTTTACTGTGAATAGGTTTTTCGCTAATTTGGGTCATGGTAATTAGTTATCTAACAATGATCAAAATTTTGGAGGAATCGTTTCATGTAAGAACTTCAATAACCTTTTAAGCTGTTAATGTCACCATTATAACCTATGGTATTTAATTTCACTGTTGACGATGTTTACCGCTTTAGATTTATGCACGCATGAATAAAAATCCCACATCTGTGGAGTAAGATCAAAATTTATCTTAATAATAAGGTAGTAGACGGTGTAATGATTAGCTGCTATATCAGCGGTAAAATCAATACAGGGTCAGGGTGTGCGAATAAAAAATCACAGTTGTTTCACATCTCTAATCATCAATTAGCTGAAATTCAAGTATGGCAAAATGGAATCCATGCATACAGATTTAGACAGTCCAAAATGAAAATTATTTTCCATAACGATAAATAATTTCATTATGGGCTCTTTCACCATTGTTTTATTCTCGGTGTCTGTTAGGTTCTACCCTCTGCACCCTTGACTTTGTCATTGTTGTGACATTCTTACTTTTTCGTCTTGCTATTTTCTGATGGTTTTTAGAGATAACATTTGATAAAAAATATACCAATTACTTTCTTTCCTACTAACGTACACAGTATTTGTAGTTCTTTGTAAAATAAAATACGTCAGGGGACACTTAACCCCTGCCCCCCAATGGCTACGCCATTGACCCCGTTGCTTTGTCACTCTTGTGATATCCCATTTTTTAGCATTGCCTGCTAGTTCAGCAAAACCACTGTTAGTAAGCATGACGTATTTTATATCCTATATTTCTTTGTGAACCTTTTGCACAACTGGGTCTAATGAACAGACAAGGTCTACTTGGAGAACGCAAAAGTAATCCAGAAAACGTTGCATGGGCTAACCTAGTGTCAAGAAGGCTTGACCTGGAATGCCGATGCTTTCCAATGCCTTTATCAGCCCCTGGAGTCCTTCGACATGCTTTTTCCACCACCAAATTAAGGTTCTGAAGCAGTGTTCTTTGTTTTTCTCGGAGAGAGTTTGGAATTGCTTGGTTTCCGGTTCTTCATATCCTTTGTATTCGGTGAATTGTTTCCTGCATTCATGAGCTTCACTGTAGGACAAGTCCGGCAAGAACTGATCATCAGTCTGCGCATTATCTGGCAAAACGAATCGGTCTAAAAATAACATCTTTGTCTCTTGAGTTATCAAGAAATGCAAAACAGACATATCGACACTTGAAAACTCAAATAATGTATTGGTTCAAATAAGATTCTTCAAATCAGGATGTTGAACTTTGAGTGAATCTGGTGCATTTACGTTGTTGAAATTCATGCCTACATAAAATTAATTCATAAAGATTTGGAGAATCTAACAATGAAACAAATTCTTTTTCCATAACGATAGATAATTTCAATGTGGGCTCTTTCACCATTCCATTTGTTGATAGTTCATTCTTCTTGTCCGTTGGGTTTTGCCCTCTGCACCCTTGGCTTTGTCATTGTTGTTACACCCTAATTATTTTTAGCAAGGGCAGCTATTCTTACGAAACGACTGTTGTCTTTTATTAGTGCCCATTGCTTGGTTTTGTCTTTAATATGTATCATGCATTTGTGAACCTTTAGCACAGCTGTTCTATACACAGAGAAGGCTTACTCGAAGAACACAAAACCAATCCAGAAAATAATGCACTTTTTAAGAAGCTTATGCACGGGACTAACCTGGTGCCTGCTCCGTAAGCCCGTTACTTTCCAATGGCTCTCTGCGCTTCTGAATTCCTTCCTTCCGATTGGTCTGCTTTCCGCACTGCAAAGTTGGGATTTGGCTGCTACGTTCTTTGTTGCCTTGGGAGAGAGTTTGGAATCGCTTGATTGCTGTTTCTTCATTTTCTCGGTAATCGGTGCATTCTTTCCGGTATTTCTGAACCTCATTGGATGACGAGTCCGTCAGGAACTGATCATCAATCTGCCTGTTGTCTAGCAAAACATATTTGTCAGTATCACAATACTCTTTAGTTTTCAAGAAATACAAAACAGATATAAAGACGCTGGAAAACTCAAATAATACAGTTGGTCAAAGAAGATTCTCGAAGAAAAACTTTGAGTGAAATTTGGTGAATGTATGTACAATATCAACATCATGAAATTCTCTATGAATCATGGCTTGCAAAGCAGCAATCACGTTTTAAATATCTTCATTATCTTTGCTATGTTAGTGACGACTACAGGTACAATCAAAGAGGAAACAGGTGTTTCAATTAAGACAAACTAACAAAGACTTTAAAATTAATGAACGCTGACGACTTACAACTGGAGTCAAATGTCTACGTGAGTAGGGGGGGGCTGTTGGGTACAGTTTGTCCTTTGCGACAAAAATAGCAAAATTTAATTTCAAATATGCATAAGTATAATAATTATGATCATAAAAATATGAATAGGAATTGAGGATAGGGTCAAAAACTACAGTGCAGATTGACCTCTGTCAAGGGATAGGTATAGGATAAAGTCAGAAAGTCTGGTACAGGTTGACCCTGGTGTATGGGATAAAATAGGAATAAAGCATAGACCGGGGTAAAGATTTTTGGTAAAATTTGACCTTGCTTATGATAAAAAATAGTGGATGAGTCGAAGGTGTGGCCTCATGGAAAAAATACCAAAGGGCCTACAGGGAGGTCCAAAAGTAATTAATTTGACTTTTTGCTATTTTTGTCTCAAAGTTCAAACTGTACACAACAGCTCCCCACGCTACTTACGTGCCAGCACAAGATAATTACTTCCCAAAACACGCTTTGAAGTATGTTTTATCTGCGACATAGATGAAGTAATTGCTTCAACTACGTATTTTCATGTTTAAATGATGAGCGAAGAGATGTATAGTCATGACAAATCTGCGGGAAGACTCTCAAAGAAGTACAGGGAACCTGTCTCTTGTTAGGGAGGCCATGTCTTTATAGTAAAAGACCTCTGGACAAACGACAGTCCAGATAGTTTGTGGATAAGTCGTTTGGAAACTGCCATGGCACCAAACATTGTCTCCTTTAAGGGATTGACAACAGACAGAAAAAGTTTGGATAAACCCGGACCGACAAACTAAAAATTGTAAGAACACAAATTACACTGTAATAATGTCGACTTACGACAGCAGGTGGCTTTTAAGAAGAAGTTTTTTTCCGTCGTTCCAAACAAGATCAGAAATTAAGTTTTTGTGCAGGAGTTGTAGAAGAAGGACAGTTCTGGACCAGTCCCCGTTTTCACCCTTTTCCTCAAACCCTCGATGACCTCATTGACTTAAACCCCATTATACCTCATTGACCTTTTTCAAAAACCCTCCAAAACACCAGCTCTCTAAAAGCACTTTTCATTTTCGTAAAAACCTCTCCTATACCTCATCGACAGTTTTCACCCGTTTTAAAACCGTGGTTCAAACAGCAGAAAGAACCTTTCACCCCCTAGTTACTCGTGACCCCGAGACCAGAAAGGGACTTCCCCTAGAACTCGTGACTAAACAAACCAAAAGGGACTTCCCGAACCAGAACTCGTGACCCCAAAAAGAAAAAAGGGACGTCTCAGAAAACTTAGTTTTACCCTGAAGCATCGAGAACAAAAGGAAAAAATAAAAACCCTACAATAAAATAGACATGAAAACAGAGACCGTATCTGCGCAAAGTAATCACCCCTGGCATGTTGGGAAATATGTTGAAGAAA